TACCTTACGAAGAATAAGGGGGTGATTGTATATGAATTGAATAGTAAAAAAATCAATCAAAATTTAATTTTAACTCAATTTTAACTCAACCCCACTATCATCAATATTACCAATATAATTAAATAATATCAACCAATCATTTTTACACATCACATCAACTTTAATTCACTATTCATCCATTCACATAACTCTAACTAACTATCACTTCCAATCATTTTTATCCTACTTTACATCAAATCAACTTTAATTATTATATTTAAATATTATTTTAATATATCCACTAACAACTAACCATACCACTTTTTTTCAAAATTAACTATAGTTAAAAGCAAACCAAATAAAAACTAGTTCAATCCATACACAATCACCCCCTAAGTAACCCAGGATGGAAATTTGATTTTTCGATTCTTATCTTTCATTGTCTCCATTTTGAGAGTATACTCCTATAAAGTTTAGCTGTTTTTATATTTCATTTTTATCCCTTCCCCCCTGACCTAATAATATGCGTTTTAAGTTTGAGATGGTGCGTGCTCATGAAAATATTGATACTCATGATAGCTAGCTCATGATATTATTGATATTCATTATAGGTAGCTTTCGAAAATGCTATGGCGATCCATCCCTTTTTTATTTCATTGGTCTGGCACTGTCGGATTTGCAGGTAATGAAGTTGAATGTGAACAACTTGTCTGGGTTCACAAAAGAGCTGGTCAAAGTGTTCCTTTCAATACTTACATTTGGCGCAGAGGTACCATACCTATTTGGTGGGGAGCTGAACTAAAACTTACTGCCGCTGAAGCAGAAATATATGTATCAGATCGTGATCCTTACAAAGGAAGTGCAGAGTATTATCAGAGGTTGTCTCAAAGATATGATGCGCGAAATCTGGATGTAGCTGTTGGTGGTCAGAAAAAGAGTGCTTTGGTTCCAATTGTGTGCGTCAACTTACTACGAAATGGAGAAGGGAAATCAGAGTCCATTTTAGTTCAGCATTTTGAAGAATCTTTAAATTATATTCGCTCCACTGGAAAACTTCCTTATACTCGAATTCATTTGATAAATTATGATTGGCATGCTAGTGTGAAACTAAAAGGTGAGCAGCAAACAATTGAAGGACTTTGGTATCTTTTGAAGGCACCTACGGTTTCAATTGGAATTTCCGAGGGTGATTATTTGCCATCACGCCAAAGGATTAATAATTGTAAAGGGGAAATAATCTATAATGATGACTATGACGGTGCTTTCTGCCTAAGGTCACATCAAAACGGTGTCATACGTTTCAACTGTGCTGACTCATTGGACAGAACAAATGCTGCTAGTTTCTTTGGTGCACTGCAGGTTTTTATGGAGCAGTGTAGACGATTAGGTATATCACTGGACAGTGATTCTGCATATGGCTATCAATCACCTGGTAACAATGCCGGTTATGTTGCTCCATTGCCTCCTGGGTGGGAGAAAAGGTCTGATGCAGTAACTGGGAAAACATATTATATTGATCACAACACTAGGACTACTACCTGGAATCATCCTTGTCCAGATAAACCTTGGAAAAGGTTTGACATGTCCTTTGAGGAATTTAAGAGATCAACTATCTTATCTCCTGTTTCTCAGTTAGCTGATCTTTTCTTAGCTGCTGGTGACATTCATGCAACATTATATACGGGGTCCAAAGCCATGCACAGCCAAATACTTAGCATTTTTACTGAAGAAGCTGGCAAGTTTAAACAGTTCTCTGCTGCACAGAATATGAAGATCACCCTACAGAGAAGATATAAGAATGCAGTTGTAGATAGCTCCCGTCAGAAACAATTGGAGATTTTTTTGGGGCTAAGGCTTTTTAAACATTTTCCTTCCACCGTGATCCATCCTTTACTTGTGTGTACTCTATGTTTTTAACTGTTAACTTGTTCCCTAATTTATATTTCCCCATTGTGTGAGTTGCTTAGGTTGCCTCTGGTTCTTCTTATGGTGTCTATAACCTTTTGATTTTGACCAGAATGTGTTCATGGAATATATTTTCGAATTCAAGAGTTCTGTCAGTCTATAATTGACCAATTATGAAATTTTCCTTGGTGAAATTTTACTGTGATCTTTGATGTTTGTATAATGTGTTCATGGAAAATATATATTTGAATCCTAGTTTTTTTTTATTCAGTCTATAATGGACCAATTATGCAAATTTTCCTTGGTGAAATTTTACTATGATCGTTGATACTTTTATCACTTGCCCCTAAGTTGCCTGCATTTTTGTAATTCCCTTTCGGCGAGGGTGGAGCACCTAGTTAGGTTTCAGAGTGGAATACATGTTTGTAAGAACTGTTATCAAATTCATTGTATTATGACCACTATCAAAATAATGTGAAATATATTCTGATCCTATCAATAGTGGGGTTTTCACTTTTTCTTTTCAAATGCTATTTTTCTAAATAGGATTGATTTCTTGCCATGTCACCTTGTCTGCACATTATAAAACAAGTAGTTTTCATGAACTGCGATGGTTATTTCAGGTTCCTTCACGTCCCTTTGGGTGCTTTCTGAAGCCGGTTCCAAGCATGTTTGCATCTTCTGATGGTGGAGCCAGTCTTTTGAGTTTTAAAAGAAAAGACCTTATATGGGTATCTATATTTATGTTTGTTATGGAAAGCTTCTTATTGCCTTTAAAATTTCATCTCCCTCTTCTCAGTTTAGTCGTGCTGTTTCATTTAAGAAGTTCATTTGTTCTGTATATATATTCTAGGTTTCTTCACAAGCTGCTGATGTGGTTGAGCTCTTTATCTATCTTGGAGAGCCTTGTCATGTTAGCCAGCTTCTTCTCACTGTTGCACATGGTGCTGATGATACAACATTTCCATCAACAGTTGATGTGAGAACCGGCCGCTATCTGGATGGGCTTAAACTTGTACTTGAGGTCTGGTATAACTCTATTGGTCTTTTGAACTACATTTGGCCTACATTTTAGCTTTTTGTTCCTCCATCTTTCATGTTTTTTTAGCGGTTATAAACATAATTCCTGTCCAGGTATAGGGGTGTGTATTCTTTTTACGTGATTTGTCTAGAAAAGCATAATTACTTTCATATTCAAAGAGTACAATGGCTTAAGTCTTCCAAATCAACTCTCCCCAGCTTTATCCTCGAGACAAATTGTGTGTTGAGGGCAAAAATGTAGCAACTGCATGTATCATGTTTTCTCGTTTATTTATTTTGGAAGCTATTGAGCTAGATTTGAGATTCAAAGTGTAATTGTCTTATGAGAAAACTTTGATATACAGTACCTATAGCCTGAATTATTATTTTTTTTTCAGGATCTTTTCTGCACATCGAAAAAGCACATTACATTACATTTGGCAACTGAAGAATGTAACGTAAAGATGACTAGCTGTAATGTTAAAAATGAGAGGATGTTTCTTTAATTAAGTTATTGGAGCGGCCATTTTGTTTTTGTAAAATGCAATGTTCAGTCAGCAATAGGGTTTTATAGTTTTTCATTATTTCTTCACAGGGAGCTTCTATTCCTCGATGTGCAAATGGTACAAACATTGTGATACCATTAACTGGACCCATCAGCCCAGAAGATATGGCAGTAACTGGGGCAGGTGCACGCTTACATGCACAGGAGTCCTCTAGCCCTTCCATGTTATATGATTTTGAAGAACTGGAAGGACAACTGGATTTTCTTACACGTGTTGTTGCAGTTACATTTTACCCTGCGGTGCCTGGAAGAGGGCCAATGACACTTGGCGAGGTACGAAAAATCGATTGACTTTTGAAGAAATATCTAGCGATGAATATCATCACATGACTTGTTTGTGAATGCAGGTAGAGATCCTTGGAGTTTCACTACCATGGAGGTCAATTTTTTCTCATGAAGACAATGGTGCTAGGTTTATTGAAAGTATAAATGATCACCGAAGGCCAATGAACCCTTTCGGTGCTGCCATAACAAATGATAAAAAGACACAATTATTGCAATCAGAATCATCTGCCAACTCGTTAGTGGACTTGTTGACTGGAGAAATAACAATTACAGACTCTGTAGCACCACCAGCTGCAGAAGCTGTCATTCATGGGGGAAGTGACTTACTTGACTTCTTGGATGATGTTGCTGCTCAGCCAGCTACTGGTACAAACAGTCACTCCATTACTGCAGCATCTCAGGAGCCTTCAGATAATGGTTCTCAACAGTACATTAGATTGTTCAAACTTCTCGCAGGGCCTCATTGGGTATGTTTTGTGATGTATTTGTAAATGACTACTGTTGTCTCCTGGTTTACTGCTCCTCTTGTATAGTTATTCTATGAGATCTTGTTGCACGATAGCACTATATTCAAATTGATCAGGACATCTATTTTAAGCATATGTGGTCATCTAAACAGGTTTATAGTATTCCCTTCTATGTTTAATTCACCCTAGTACTACAACTGAGTAGTTTCAATAAACGTGCAATTTGTAGATGTGGAATTGCTATAGTATATGTTTAATTCCCTTCGTTTAATTCCCTTCTATGTTTAATATACTCTACTGGATCTCACTGATAAATGTGTGCACGAATGCTTTTTTTTTTTTTTTTGTGNTGTTTAAGACGTTGAAAGCAGGGTTTACTCGTAAATACTGTGTGATGTTATGTCAACATGAGGCTGTCCCTGCTTCTGAACTCTGATGCTTTGGATGCTCTAGCTTCAAAGTGATTAATTTGGATGGGCTGCGTGAAATGTGGTTTGTGTGGTCTTGTCCAATTATCATCTATTCTGTATTTTAGTTGGGTGGATTTTCAGAACATTAGTTGACTCAGTTACTGCTGGGATGGTCAATAATTTTTGCCCGTATAGTATATGAATTTGAGGTTTCCTCCATAGAAGAATCATTTTGAAAGCTAGTATTGACCCCAAATTCATATAGTTACATGATGGTTACAGTGGAATCAAAATCCAGTTTGCTGCAGAAGCATAACTGGGAAAAAGTTTTTGGATTTATTTTTTGTAGACCAGTTCTGAGTTGTAGGTTTTTTCGATAACAAGACAAAATAAACTAATTAGTTCATGATACCTTAAACAACAAAGGATACTGGTGTCTTGATTCATTTTGATTCAATCATATATCTATATCTTCAGTGTGCATTGGTGACTTCATGGACTGGCTGTTTGAAGTACATCCAAAAATTCCTTATGTCAATAGCTTAAATATAACTAAAAATATATTTCAATTGATGTCCATACCATTATGTCAAAACATATATTCTAGTCTTGTAAGTTCGTTTTCTACTCAGCTTGGATAATAGCTGTTGGTATACTGAGGTAATTGAGTTTGCTGTGGAAATCGGTATTTGAACTGAATTGTCATGATTGATTATGGAATATGATTTGATCATCAGATGTGTACATTGTTTAAGGCCATCTTGTTCTTTGAATAAAATTAGCAGGAAAGAAGGTTAGATTTCATGGAAGCTATGAAATTTGAAATAGAACGTCTGAAGCTGAATCTTTCTGCCGCTGAAAGAGATCGAGCCCTCTTATCAATTGGAATCGATCCTGCTAGCATTAACCCAAATACATTGCTTGAGGATTCATACATGGGGAGATTACACAGGGTGGCCAGCACACTGGCATTGTTCGGGCACGCTTCACTGGAAGATAAAATTACTGCTTCCATTGGGCTTGGAACATTTGATAGATGTTCCATAGATTTTTGGAATGTTTCAGCAATTGGGGAGAGGTGTTCAGGTGGTGCATGCCAAGTTCGTGCCGAAACTGGGCTTGTTGGGGATGGATCATTGACCTTATCATCAACAACAAAATCGGGATCCATTTTTGTATGCGCTGATTGTGAGAGGAAGGTCTGCAGAATTTGTTCTGCAGGAAAAGGAGCTCTTTTGCTTGCAGGCCATATCTCAAAGGATATTTCAGGTTACAACAACATAACTAGCCTAACTAGCCAGGGAGGTTCAGTTGATTCATCTTCCAACCGCTTGCCAGCACTCGATGGAATAATCTGTAAGGAATGCTGCCCCGAAGTTGTACTTGACGCCTTGATTCTGGACCTTGTTAGGGTCTTGATTGGCCAACGAAGAAATAATAGGGCGGATGCTGCTGCCGAGGAAGCCTTGAACCACGTGTTTGGATTATCCTCGAGAAATTTACCCCTCAAAAGCGATCACTTTTTAAAGAGTCAAGGAGCTGCTAAGGTCTTAAAGAAGTTAACTGATGGAGAAGAATCACTTGCAGAATTTCCGTTTGCCAGTTTTTTACACCCGGTATCACAATGAACTAGCTTGTTATTGTCTTTAAATTGCTCAGTTCTGTCATTTTCTCTGTTCCTTTTCTTATTTAAATTGGTATCCAAAATGCTATGATTGCTTTTGGAACCAACAGTAATAAATAGTTCTTAATTAGAAGCCTAATTATTATAAGAACATTTCACCTTCGTTCGTGGTGTGCTTCAAAGTCATGGTTATTGCTATATCTTTTACATTTCTGTGCATCTCCATAGCCAGGTATTAGTTTAATCTGATGATCGATAATTATTGACAACCCCATGTCATTTATTGTCTTTTGATTTACCAGTGATGATGACTTCTATGGTGATGACTTTTAAACTGGAAAATGAACATTTGTCTGATCATACTTGGGTTGCTGCCTTGAATAAGGATATGATAAAAAACCGTGCTCTGCATTTTTGTATGCTACACCACTTAAGTACGTAGAATTGATGGATTTGTATTTCTGTAATCCATGACATATGGAGTTACATGGTCACTTTGTCCACCTTTGTACTTGGGGAAAGAAAATTGGTGTTTCTCTCTCTGTTGTCTTGAAGATAAAAAAAAAAAAGAAGAAAAAGTCCTTTAATTTTTAATTTTTAATATATTCAAATATGTGAGGGTGGCCGGGTACACTTGTGCTTTTATGGTTTCATGGTCGAAATATTTACTATCTGGAAGTAAGCTGTGCCTTATTATGTAGGTTGAGACAGCAGCAGGTTCAGCACCCTTCTTATCTTTGGTTGCTCCTTTAAATTCTGGATCACAAGAGTCATACTGGAGAGCTCCTCATGATGCCTCGTCTGTTGAATTTGTCATTGTGCTAAATGATATTTCTGATGTGTCTGGTGTTGTCTTCTGGTCAGTCCATGTGGTTATTCAATGTTCGATGCCCCTACCGTAAGTACGCTGATCTTTTACAGTTGATACACTTTCAGAGGCTAAACTATTTCACAACTGGATGTTGCATTTTGTTTCGGGAACCAAATATATGCCCAATGATATTTGTTTAGTTTGACTGGTGTGTGCCGTCAAGTTACTTCCGCTTACACTTTTTCATGAAATTCTGGTATGAAGAACAAATTATTTTCTTACTCCATTCCAATGGAAAGAGAGTTGTGGCTGATGGAATTCAGGTCTTGAGTTGCATCTCTCACTCAATTAAAATAAATATTGAACTTATGCATCTTACTATCATTTGAATTAAAATATGTGTATGCACACAAATGGTAATGTCCACATTTTCATGTCTTGAAACCACAGTCAGAGGATAGTCAACTACCTATTAGATTGTTGCTCTACATGTGTCTTTCTTCTGTTTGTGCAGGTACAAATCTGGGTTAGCACTAAACTAGATAGGGAAGAACGATTATGCACAGGAAAATGAGATATTCAATCTCTCCTAAGATCTTCGTCCGAACTTTGTGGGCCAGAGAGGTCCTTTGAAGATGGTAAAGTTCCTAGGCATGTCAAATTCGCCTTCAAGAGTCCTGTTCGGTGCCGCATCATCTGGATAACCTTGCGTTTGCCAAGAATTGGATCTAATTCGGTCAATTTCGAAAAAGAATTTAACCTCTTGTCCATGGATGAAAACCCGTTTGCCCAAGTCGGCAGGCGTGCGTCTTTTGGTGGAGAATTTGATAGTGAACCATGCATTCATGCTAAAAGAGTAATAGTAGTGGGTACTGTAAGGAAAGAAATAGGGACATCCCCACAAGGGTCTGACCAAATAAACGTGAGGAATTGGTTCGAGAACCCTCCTCAGTTGAACAGATTCAAGGTAAGAAAGCGTTATTAACTTAGTTTTCTCCAGAAACTTTGTCATGTTAACAGGTTGACAAACCTATGGAAGTAGTTGAAACTGAACCCCCTCTTTCTAACATTTCAGGTTCCCATTGAGGTCGAGTGATTAATAAACAATGATCTAGTCCTGGAACAATTTTTATCCCCTGCTTCGCCCCTTGTGGCTGGATTTCGTCTGGATGGTTTTAGTGCAGTAAAGCATCGAGTGAACCATTCGCCTTTCGCAAATGTGGACTCGGAGTGCAGAGACTATCTTTTAGATGAGAGACTTATTTCTCCTGCCGTGTTGTATATTCAAGTGTCCACCCTTCAGGTACTAGAAGCATGTTTTCTGTTGTTTTGTTTAATAATTTAATAATTTAATTTTATCATGCTAAAGACATGTTATCCTGGACTATGTTTGATAGTCCCCATCCTTTCCAAGTCAAGGTCTCTCATTGGCATATGGTTTGCCGATTGTGACATTATTTTCTGGGCTCATAAGATGTTCAATTTTTTTGTGCCTTAGATTTGGAATTGCCTATATTGAATACCCATCCATAGTTTTGGTTCTTGCTGAAAAGTATGCTTGCTATAGTTGGAATAAATCTTAACCATTCATAATTGTTGACGTTCATCTTGGCTATGCTGTAGAAAAGATCATACACAACCTACAAAACTAGACATGCAGTAGTGTGCTCTTGCTTTTCTTGTTTTGTATTAGGCTTTGTATCAGCCATTCATTGAAATAATGGAAACTATATCAAGGGGTTGCACGCCTGTTTTTGTTAATATTCATTGGTTATTAGTCGATGTAGCAGATAGTGATACATCTTTAAATACAAGTAATATTATAGTATATTAGTAGTTAAACAATGCCCGTGGACTACACGGGTGTTTCATAAAAAACTAATTATCCGACAAAAAGTGAAAAAGAATTGAAATTCTTATTGTGAAGTAAAAAACCTATAAATAATTAATAAAAAATATTTTTTAAATATTATTTCGAATTCAAGGAAATATTTTTATGAAATTAATTGCTTTATTTAATATATATTCATTTTGTCAAATTAAATATAATAATTAATTTATTCGGCAACATGAACAACACTGGTGATTGAAAATTAAATATATTTATCAAAAGAAAGAAGTGAACAAATTTATATTATTGTAATAAATGATAAAAAATTAAAAATACAACTAATAATTAAAAAATAATAAAGTTAATTAAAAAATAATACCATGTTTTATACTTGATTTTTCAATAATTTAATTTTGAATTAATTCAATTTTTTTTTTTTCAAATTTGATTATATTGTAATTACGTTTTATATTTATACAGTTTTCTTTCCTCATCTAATATTTTTTAAAATATCTTCAACTTTATAATATTCAAATAATTTAAGATATAATGTGTATGAGACTGAACTTTATGAAATACAATAATTATTTTTATTATTCTAATTATAATGTTTAGTTGTTTTTTTCAAGATCATTATAATGTTCATTCACTATGTAGTCTTTATCTAAGTTGATATACAAACCTTAGAATATTTTTGTTTGATGTTCATAGTTAGCTTACATATTTTTTTATATTAATTTGATGTTCATAGTTAGCTTACATATTTTTTTCTAGATAAAATAACTATTTTATGGTATGTTAATACATATAAATTCCTATTACTTTATAAGATAATTTATATTTTTATTTGATATTCTTTAATTTAGTTTGATAAATATATTTAAAATTTCTTTATAATGTTATATATCAATGTTTTGTATTTTATATATATAATATGGATGTCAAATCAAAGATCGTTAAAAGATAATTAATTTGATATATTATATATGAATAATAAAATACAAACAAAAATGTTATAAAATTTTAAAAATAAGAAGAATATTTATAATAATTGATGTATCAATTAAATAAGAAAAGGAAATGTAATATATGGTAATGTAGAAAAAAGAAACGTAAAATAGTTTATGGTAACTAATTGTAGAAAGAAATAAGGAAAAGATCAATCATGGATTTAATATGAATAATAGACATTAAATGAAATCCAAGACTAATATTTTTGTATAAAAAAATATTAATTTTTATCCAAACCTGACTCCGAAGCATGATTTTTTGCCACATAGTATTACGAAGCGTGAGAACATGACCTTACCCTTGTAATTATAAAAGGAGACTGTTTCCGTAGCGACCCAAGGTGCATTGCGCCGTTTGATATATATTTTTTTTTCTAGAAACTTCACTAATAGAAGAAGCACTAGAATTTGATTGGGCCGTTTTGATCTAGTCCATTATTAGCACTATGTCAGGAGAATTGTCAACAATGACTCTTCCACCTAGGCTCAACGTATTAGGTAATTATGTAGGGCTGATAGTTATTAGGTAATTAGTTTAATTGTAGATTTTGGCTATGAATATTTAAGCCTTTTTGCATGTGAGAAGATCATGATGGATGAAAATGATCTAGTCACTCTCTCTAGTCTCTCGTCCCTGCCTCAATCTCTTTATTTTGCAGTCAATTATTCGAAAAGTGTCCTATCCCGAGATTATCCATCCCGGGTCATATAAAATTTTCTGTTTATGGAATTTTTTGTTACAGAAATGCAAGCTTTCAAAGATAACTCTCTCTCTCTCTCTCTCTCGTTTGTTTCTTGTAATTAGGTGAAACCTTTCAGGTCAGTTTTCCCCTTTGAATTTGTTGCTTTTGCTGGAAAATAAAGATATCTTGTTCATCATTCTCACCTTGAGTGGAATTCTACCTCCTTTCCCAATTGTCTCATATTTGTAGATTAGCTACATACAATAATAATATAAGCCACCAACCATGTCATTTAACAGGAGTCAAATAACATGGTGACTGTTGCTGAGTATCGGCTACCAGAAGTGAAACCCGGGACACCCATGTATTTTGACTTCCCCAGACAGATAAACACTCGTCGCATAACATTTTGTCTGCTTGGAGACATTGCAGCTTTCTCAGATGACCCTTCAGAACAGGACAACTCGGAATACAGAGCCCACCCATGGGCTGTGGGCTTATCACTGGCAAACAGAGTTAAATTGTTCTACTATGCTGATCCATACGAACTCGGGAAATGGGCCAGCCTTTCTGCCGTTTGATTAAACCATTCTAATCCTTTATGTTCCGTTTGCTAGCGGATGGCGCTTATCTCGGCTTGATTCTTTCAAATGCCAAATGTTGAGATTTTGCGATTCTTTATTTTTGTAAATTAGAGATTTGAGATTCTTTTGTCATGGTTTTTATGTGATTTGAGGATCAGTTTATTGGTGTAACTCCATATAGTCCAAAAAATGTACTCTAGTTGGGGTCTGTATGTGTTCTAATTAATACGTCGTACTGATGTGTTATGAGACTATGTATCCGTGATAATCATATTTTCTATCTTTTCAAATGTCTAGGCCCCGCAATAAAAAAAAGTATGATTGTTTCTTAATAATCAATAATAGAAAAAGTAAATGGTCGAAGGGAAGTCATCGTTACATTATATCATCACTAATCTATATAGTACATAGTATGTTAATAGTAGATGAACGTAGGTTGATTCTGTTATATTATTTTGGCCAAGCCATATGTACAAACAAGTTGACACATGCAATTTGCAATCACTATAGCTACATACTGTCACAAAGGCTGTATTATCGAGACAATAGAAGGACGTCGCTACAAAGTCAGACTCTGAGCGGTAGATAAATCACCCGACACTTCCGAAGGCTGACACACTTTCATTTATTTAGAGGACGTTGAGATCTAGCATTCATGTTGGTTTTCGACCGCATCTTCCAATTCCATTTTAAAGTTTTGGTGCTATTGCCGATGGTTGGCACACTTTCATTTATTTAGAAGACATTGACCTAGCATTCATGTTGATTTTCGACCACATCAACTAATTCCATTTTAAAGTTTTGGTGCTAGAGCCAAGTGGTTTCGAAATAATTCATGTTTGTTTTCAACTGCATCTTCCAATTCCATTTTAAAGTTTTGGTGCTATTGCCGAAGGCTGGCACACTTTCATTTATTTAGAAGACGTCGACCTAGTATTCATGTTGGTTTTCGACCACATCAACAAATTCCATTTTAATGTTTTGGTGCTAGAGCCAAGTGGTTTCGAAAGAATTCGTGTTTGTTTTCGACCGCATCAACCAATTTCATTTTAAAGTTTTTGGTGCTAGAGCCAAGTGATTTGTGAATAATTCTGCACTATGGCTTTGAATTGGACATAGAAAAAACACACATTAAGCGAGCCTGTTTAGTAATCTAGTTTCTAATTACTAGTACAGAGCCCGTGCGATGCACGGGGTGCACAATTTTAAGGTTATTTATCTAGACTTATAATGATATACATGAATACAGAAAAATGTACGGGATATATATAGTACGTGACCCGTGCGTGGCACGGGATATATTTATTTGAGGAATACTATATTATAAGATGCAATATTCAATAGAAGTTTTATAATACGCAGGAAAATTATACAATAAGATAGTATTCGACAAACAAACAATCATATATTATTAAAGACCACCTTGTACACAACATTATGAGTTTGATTTTCCATACAATAATAATAAGATTTTTTGTAAAAAGATAAGAAGGAATTTTCAATCTACACAAACTTTAAACATTAGATGTATTTACGTAAATCAATGACTATATAGACAACTAAATCCTTGAATTTAGGCTTGACATCTACTTTATTTATGGGTGACGTAAAATAAGGATTTAATTTTGACCGATTAAATCTTTATTCATAGGCTTGACATATAAAACTGATTTGATGGGGTTTTCTTAACTAAACCGATGCTATGAGATAAAAAAAATATATACTTACCTTTGACTTTTCTAGCAAAGGTAAAAAATCGGTTCTGATTTTTATCCCATAACAAATCTTTAATGTCAAGCCTATAAATATCAAAACAAATCTGTAATTAATATCATTCTATTTCCAGCAAGCATTAATTACCTTTGACTTTTCTGCCTACTATTTCTAGTAAATAGGATGACATTTTATATAAGTATAGATTTCATATAATGCAAAGACTGAGATCATAAAAAAGAATCCTAAAAACTGAAACAATATATTTGCATAATTTAAGGCCATTAAGAAATCGATCTCTAAACCAGATTTGATTTTCAGAATATGTTTTTCATTTCGAATTCCATACAAAATGGAATTCTTTCCAACCAATAGATGTCATAGCAAATATTAACTCTTAACTATTAAACTATTAGTACATACCGAGCAAATTGTGTACTGATTTTAGAAAGTTAAAATGATTCATGTTAGGTAATTTTACATTTTATGCATGTTGAACGGTGGGTTTAAATATTGTTTCATAGAATGTAAATGTGTATTATATTATTTTTATGAGATGTTGAATTTGAAAATTAATAGAATTTTCTTCATAGGAATTTCAAATGTAACAATATTCTTTGGTATACACTACTAATAAAATCTATATTTAAAGTTTATATTTTTTTTTACCGGAAAAAATTCCTTAATTTAAGGAATCATATATCTTCAATCAGTCCACATATATATACATTCTTCACAATTTTAAATCTTGAATTTGATAAGAATTCGTATCTATGAGTGCAAAATATGGTTTAACAAATTAATTTTTTATAACCAACAGACCAATGCGTATAAGAAAACTCATTGAGGAAGGATTTTTTTATGCTTCAAGAATTCATAAGCCCATAAATTGCACCACATCACTAGTGTAATAGCATCCACGAACATCTATCATAGCAAAAGCATTCACAAACATCTATCATTTTTCCTATGACATTCTTTTTATAGTTATAAAATACAGTTACTAAATACTCAAATTGTACACTTAATTATGGATTAATTTTGGGCTCGACTGTGCGGGTTACTAAATACTCAAAGTTTTAGCTTAATTATAAATTAAATTGGGTTCGGCTATGTGTGCACAACGCAAACCCAATTTTTCTCTTTATAGTAGAGCTTCCCAGATTATCATCTTCTGGTGTTTTGTAATTCTAATTGTCGAATTATGATGTTCTCACAATTTTTCGTGCTTCGGATTAATTCATGTAGATTTGGTCTTCTATCCATAGTTGTTATGACTTTTAATATTATAAAACACTCTACTAACTTAAATTATAAATATATTTTACAAATTAATAGCTTTTGTATTTGTTGCCACTTTTACATATATGTCATATCAAATTAATCATCTCTTGGTGGTCGCTATGATATCTATATTGCATATCTAATAAATAAATAATTTTATTTATCTGTATTATAAAAACTAAATAAACTATTAATACTAATTGAAACTAATTTTATTCATATATATTATAAAAATAAACTTATATATAAATAAAATTAATAAAATTATGTATCATTTAAAAAAATTATCTATAAAGTCATCATACTTGAATTAGAAAAATTATTATAATATGAGAGGGGTACATTTTTACAAGCGACGAGTGTCGTTTTAAATATAAATTATAATAAAGTATTTTTAGAAACATTTAAAATTTAAATAGAAAACTTCTCTTATTTATTTTATTAGAATTTTAATATAAAGTTTTTAAAAAATACACATGGGGGTTGTAGTGTATATATTGGCAATTTATTGGGCACCGTTAATTAGGTTTGGTCCGATGCCAATACTACTTGCTTCGCAAGCCTTTCCATCTTTTTCCCGGTCCATTTCCCCCCTACAAATTTGCCTGCCTATACAATCTCCTCCTCTTTCAGGCCACAAAAAATGTTTATACTTGTCAAAAATCCAAATTTCCTCTTGTCTGTTCTCTAAAGGTTGTCGCTTGTATGCTAGTGCAGTAGTGGCTTCAAAATTTCGAAAAAACAGAAATTGTTCGTGATACATTTACTCCGAGGAGAGACGAATCACACGCCATAGAAAACGAGCTCACTCTCACTTATTTATTGATGGCATGGGATTTTGCTAAGAAAATCATTTTTTCTGATATTGCGCTATAGAAGCACTCGTCGTCTTACATTTCCGTTTTCAGCTGCCATGGCTGCATTCTTGAAAGCTCATGCGCACTTTCAGAGCTACGAACATGGAAATAATGAAGGGATTGAAAAACCCAAATTAGGGGATTTGGAAATCTCTAATCCTTGTTGGTATTCTCCTGAAACAGGGATATACCGAAGCAAATACCCTGTTGTCAACTTGCCTTCTGAGACTTTTCTTGATGTTGTTTCTTTTATTTTCTCAAAAGAACACCGTGGGATTCATGCACTCATTGACTCTTCATCTGGGCTCACAGTTTCTTACTCCAAGCTTTTATGAGATTTGAACCCTCTCTCTACAATTATCCGCCAATGGATAATGTCTACCTGGCAGTTGTGCCTATGTTTCATGTGTATGGGCTATCTCTTTTTGCTATGGGGCTGTTGTCATTGGGTTGTACTGTAGTCACAATGAGAAAATTCGATTTAGATGAAATGGTGAGAGCTATTGATAAATATGGTGTGGCTATCTCTTTTTCTTAAAGAGGAATTGTTTAATGAAAATTAAACATATTTATATTTATAATTGTGAAATAATATTTTTTTTCACGGCCAACAGTTTTACAATTTATTCAGCACACTTTTTAATTTATAAAACAGAATGTTGATTGTGATAATCAAATCTGCAGAAATCATGCATTTTATTGAATAGTAGTAATATAAAATATTTTATTGTTACTTCCAAATGGAAAGTCAAAGTTAGTGAGCATGATTGGATATAAATCCAACAAAAAAAAATTCAATCATTTTTAACTCAACCATTTTTTTTTAACTCAACTTTAACTCAACCCCACTATCATCAATATTATCAATATAATTAAATAATATCAATCAATCATTCTTACGCACAACATCAACCTTAATTCACTATTCATCAACTCACATAATTTTAACTAACCATCACATCACATCTTCTCTCTCCTACTTTTGCATCAATTTAATTTTAATCATTTTATTCTAAATATTATTTTATTATACCCACTAACAACTAACCATACCAACTTTTTCAAATTTAACCAACCCAAACAAAAAATCTAATCAAAACAAAAACTTTTTATATCCAATCATGCTCTAAAAATTTTGCACTATTAGTTATGATCATATGAATTTTTTTATACATATGTTTTTTCAATGAACTTTTCAAATGATAATATTGACAATATAGACTTTGCTATAATAATTATATAGACTGTTCTATAACAATAATTTATTTATTTAATTCATTAATTTTTTTTTAATTCATCTTATTATGTGTATAGTCTAAGTTTATAAATTATATGTCATTTAAATGTATCTATACTACTAATTTATAAGGTTTTACCATTTGGGGGAGCTAAATTTTTAATTTTAATTATAAAACTAATCTTTCTTATCATTTTGCAGCTATATGTTTGATGGAGTATGGCTGGAAATTAAATTACAAAAAAAATAATTTTATTTTTTATATTGTAATGTAACATGATCTGTATTATAATGTTTGTATTTAATACATTTATTAATATTTTTTATAACTTTAATTGCTTATTCAATCCATAATGGAATAAAAAATAATAATATATAGTTTCTGCACAACAATAATGACTGCCACGTTTATATATATAAATCAGAATAAGAAACATAAATGTGGGATTAACTAAAAGAAACCTTTTTAATTTAGCCATTAACTAATTAGGTTTAACTAAAAGAAACCTTCTTAAATGTGGAATTAGTGAGTAATTACTTAAAAAAAATGTAACTCCTTTTGTAGGGAAAGTGAAAATATTTTTATTAAATGGGATTAGCTAGTAATTATATATATATATATATATATATATATATTCTTATTTTTTTAGTGTATAAGTCAAAATATTTGCGGGCCACTACACAATATTGGCCCTGCCCATACCGTTGTTACCTTCCAGGAACCAGGCTATTGACTGGGCATTTATTATTATTGAATGGGCTTTATTCACTCTATTGGTCCATGCTAGATTTGCTGAATGGGCTTATTAGGTATTTTCAATCCAAGAACCCACGTGCATAAGTAGTCTATAGTTCGGCTTCCGTCAGAAAAACAAAAGAGAGATTGTTTTTGTATTTCACTGATGAAATAAGGTTTAATATTGTTTTGTAAGTGTATTTAATATTGAAGAGAACTATGGGATTTAGGTATAGATTCATGCAAGAATGAAGGCATGTGCAGTTTTTGCTCACTTGATAATAGTTATATGTTACAATAGGGTGTTTTGGTTGGGTTGAGCTTCTCCAAAAAGATTTATCTTATAAGCTATTTTTTGTCCCACTTTTGTTATTATTTTGTATGTTTATTTTTTATACATATTCCTCCATGTTTAGGTAGTTAGTGTGTTTATTTTTTATACATATTCCTGCATGTTTAGGTAGTTTCTAGTAAGCTCGTTCCATTTAATCGTGTCTTTTGTGTTTTTGTTTCATTTGTGTCTTAGTTTATTGTGTCGTTTTTAATGTGTTTTTCTCTCGAGACAGACAAGAATAAAGCGTCAAGTGAGTTCTAGTAGCACATTATGAGCTGAGTCTACGTTCATAATTGGTTCCTAGCTAGTAATTGCCGATGATAGCCAAGTACAATTAATCCGATTCATCGCGCGAAACTAGCAAAACCTTGTGGGCTTTTGTGAGAAGTCTTTTTCATAAGTTTTCTCTTTCATTTTATTCATGGGTTTGATAAAAAATGTTTGATTAAGTTTTGTGTTTTCCTTCAAGATTATGGGCTAATTTCGTTTACTAGAGATAANTACTCTGAATTATCAATTATTTAACTGATGCAAATAGATTAAATATTAAGGTCCGTCAATTGACAATCTAGTTAAATAGCCTAAGAATAGGATGAGGCTAAGTTTATCACGACTCGTATATAATGGACATGTTCATAACTATATTGTGTACGTGTTAGTTGATATGAATTTTTTACATATATTTGTTCTATTGTTACTTATAGTTATTAAAGATAAGCTTGTTTAATCGTTTAACCTATTAATAGCAACAAAAATGTTCCCCTACTCACGATGGACACATGTTAATATGTCCACCGCTTATGTGGCATGCACACATTGGTGATGGTCATCAGCAATGTGTGCATGCCACATAAGCGGTGAGTGGATAAATAATGAATTAGAGTTGATGTGATGTGTAAGAATGATTGGTTGAATAATTAGTTGATATTATTTAATTATATTAATAATATTGGAGATAGTGGAGTTGGGTTAAAATTGAGTTAAATTTGAGTTTTGATTAGTTTTTTTTGAAGTGAGTTTATAAATAATCACCCCCTTAATATTTGAAATTAAATTATTACCTTATATAGTGATCAGATTAGGTTCCCCATTTTTTCCATCAAAATGTAGAAAAATGATAAATAGTCGACCTAGTGTACAACTAGGTTGACAACACAAGTGTAAACATCCACTGGTGTATTTTTTTATTTTTATTTTTTGGATGTTTTTTACTTGTGTTGTCAACGTACTTGTACACTAAATTGACAATGTAGCATTTCTCTAAAATGTATGCTTAATCAGAGGAATATAAATGAAATTCAATTCATGAAGTAAGATAAGGAAAGATATTAAAGGATGATTGGATGTATATACATAATTGTTAAATGCAAAGAGACACCCATAAACTCGAGTTTGAGTTGTCAATTTTGATAAACGAATCAATCTCACAACTTGCTCGTCTAATTAACAAATTTAGATTGAATATTAGAAGTTCGAGCTTAATTTGTTTACGGCTACATATACTGAATACTCGTTTGAATATTGGTTATTTGGGTTAGAGAAATTCACTAGAATTCCTATTTGT